CTAAAAAACATAAACGATCTTTGTAAGTTACTAGAAAAACTTAGTAATAAGGCTGAAAGAAGTAAAAAAAGATTAGTAACACTTATTATCGGAAACGTTTATACTCTCAAATCTCGATAATAAATTCGTAATTGGATTTCGGTGGGAATGTAGCATTTAATTCCTATTTAACGTATTGCCATTGCCACCACTTCATTCCTTTTATTTTGACTTTTATCTTTGCAAAATTAAATAATCTTATACGATCGTAACTTGTATGTTGAATCATAGCATTAAAATAATAAACATATTATATATTTTATTATTAACTCAATCGGTCGGACCTTATTCGAGTTGAGTCATAGTAGGCTCAAACTCGGCTCATAAATCAATGGAGTTTAGTAAAACGGCTCAAACTCGGCCCGACTCACTAAAAAGTAGGGCATATCAAATATAACCGGGCCGAGCCACCGGGCATCCATTAGGCCCGACTCAATTGCCCGTCCTACATATAGCTAAGAAATGGTGATATTTCCACCCCTTAAATCTTTCTTTGTGATAACCTCTAGAAATTTTATTCTCAATACCACCCTTCTGTCAATTAGCATAGTTTGTCCCAATTATTCTTTTTTCCCCTCTTCCCATCACAACAATCTAATTCATAAAAAAATGAATTTTCGATTCTTCATTTTTTATTATTTTCGAATTTATTTAGAATTTGTTTATTTTTTTTATTTTTTAATATTTTTTTTAATAAAAATATTTGGGTAAATTACACCCACACCCTTGAGGTATGCTTAAATATTCAAGGTCATATGATATCGATAATTATACTCACCCTCCTGAAACATTGTTAGAAACTCTAATGGGATACGTTATTCCGATAGAGTTCTAACAGACTATTACTTTTAGCCAGTGGTGGAGACAACAAAGAGATATGGGTGATTTAAGAAATGTTAGGGGAATCATGTCACCTCCTAACTCTATGTTGTCTCCATCACTTGGTAAAATTAATAGTCCGTTAGAACATTATGGGAATAACGTATCGAATGCATTATCCCATTAGAGTTTCGAACTATGCTTCAGGGGGTTGAGTGTAATTATCGATACCACAGGGACCTTAAAGTTATTTAAGCATAACTCAGGGGTGCTGGTGTAATTTTCCCAAAATATTTTTTACTTTTATCATAATTTTTTTTAATTTTTTTTAAACAAAAAATTGAATTATTTTTCTCGAGAGGTTTGCTACGCCGAATATGACTATAGTTGAATATGAATATAGTCGAGGGCCTCATTTGGTTCGTGCGATGGGTTTGAATGCGATTTCTATCAACCCACTAGGATTACACTTTAGGGATACAAATTAAATTAGTTAATCTCATGTTTGGTTCGACTGTTTCAGCTTCAAGATAGATGTCTGGACTGGATCATTCCCGCGTTTGGCTCAATGGTTAGGGTTGGATAAGTATAGAAAAACCTATATTGCCCAACCTGTATAGTCCATGCTTGATGTGCATAAAGGCTCCCAACCCCTATAAATGAATTATTTCCATTCTTTTCCAGTTTTCTGTCCCTTTTTTTTTTGAGTTGTTGCGAATATCTGTACTAAATACGAAAATTTTATTCTAATATTATTAATCGGATGGGTAGCAACAGTTCAAACGGTTTTCTTGGACTGAGACGAAGTGTGGCGTCTCAACACCACATTACCACATTTTTTTAACTCAAATTAAAGTAATTCAACTTGATTATACGCAACATTGAGCAGTACATAAATTCAAACAGCCATAGCACAACTGCTGCCACAAAAGTTGTTAATCTGGTAACTAGCAATCACTATAACATAATTAAAACAAAATACTTATTCACATACAGAAACTACTCATTCGAGTCCCATCCGCTTTACTTCTTAGATGAGTTTGGTCCCCACCCAAAGTCAACATTGGCGCTGACGGAACGGCGGTTGTACTGCATACGCTTGTGGGTGTGGCCACAAGGCTTCTTCTTTGGGTCTTGCACTCCTGCTTCCTTGGGAGTCTGTCTTCTCACCTTTCCGGCACGAGCCAACGAACAGTGTACCTTGCCCATGTTTGTGTTTGATTGATTAACAACTTCCCCATCTTCTCTTTTGTTTTATTTTATTCAAGCAATTACCAGCAATAATTGATAGTTACATATGTTTTCTCATGATTTTGCTAAGAATAGAAATGTTTGTACTAAATTGCTCCAGATAATAACAAGCATAAAGGGATCTTAAAAGCTAATAGCCATAGGAATTCATTGTGCTGCATCAACTGAATTACTTCTAAGTGCATATATTTAATGTGTTTCGAAAGCAGTTAACAAGGCAAATAGTTTCTTGTTAAACACAAATTACAGTTACGAAGAAGTAAACAATTAAGACATTTAACTTCAGCAAACTCCTTCATCGGTAGCAACAAAAAGAACCTTTCAATGTTAGACTAATTAATAAAAATCCTACTCATTGATTTTTTCGGTACCTTTCTTTTATTTTCATTTTGTTTTATGCAATCCACTTCTAGCCCAGATTGCACCACAAGATACACCGACCTTCTAGTTTGACATAGAAACAAACAAG